AGCATTTTTACCGTAGGGGTTTGTAATAGTTCAGCTAAGGAAAATGGTTGTCGCTACCTTTGAAGACGCAGCAGAAGCGATTCAGTGGCCCTTCTATTCTATATTCACTGCGACATCTATGGTGTGGCGTGACTTCTTAGAATTTAATTGAATGGTATGCGAAGAACTTACATATCTGTTGTAAAGTAATTTTTTAAATTGTAACGACGTGACGTAAAATTAGGTCGGTGGGTTTTAGACTAGAATTAGATCAAAGAAGGGAAATCTTATTCTACATATAATGTGTATCTACTCATTATTGGATGTTTCTATTTGACTGAATCAAATACAATATTTAAAATTGAAGACTCAAAACGTCGAATTTCATTAAAACTTGTAATATAATTTTTAATTAAACAGAAACAACTTTTCCTCGAGATCTTTTTCAAATTAATTAATATGAAACTTTTAAAAATATTGTATAGGTAATATTCCTAAGGCAAAAGTCAAAAGTGAACGTTGTTTTTTAATTCTAAAAGGATAAAGGCATTTTAAAAAATTCAAAGAGACAAGAAAGTTTAAGTGCTTTTTGACAAAGCAGATAAACGACTTTAATAAGACAGTTATTGATCATTTCGCGTCTCATAAAAAAATGGAAAAATTAATTTGTTATTGCGCTATTTGTGTTGTTTACAGTGACTTGAAAAATTTATCTAGGCAAAAAAATGTAAGTCGTGAACATTTCCATACGATTATATTTTACAAATTTTGATGTGGATTATCTCAACAACAATGCATCGATGAACTTATTAATTCGAATTTTGGCGATGAAGCACCATGAAAAACCATTGTATGTCGGTGGTCAATCGCTCACTGACGAATTTCGTGAAGATCGGGCAAAATCGGTTGTTGTTGCGGAACTGATATTGCAAGATCGTCATGTGACTTATCGTGAGATTGAAGCATTCTTGGACATTCGTAAGACCAGCATACATTCACATAATTTAACAAACGCTCAAAAAAGGCTCGTGTCCATTGGTCGAAAAAATTACTGAAGAAATACGATTGCGGTGCTTCAAAACACGTCTATGATATCGTAACAGGGGACGAATCAGATCTATACGTATGAGCTCGAAAGTAAACAGCGGTCGACTTTACGAGTCTTTCAAGATGAGCCAAATCCAACAAAAGTATTCGTGCACTTCTAAGCAGAAGGTCGCCATTTTTTTTCCAGAAAAACCGGATGTGATAACTGTACCATTAGTGCAACATTCAATTCTGTATGGTACACAATCATTTGTTTGCCAGAACTCTTCGGAAAATAAGGGAAAACAACCTTTATGAGAACTAAAAAAGTCGAATTTATGAGTATTCCACCGTACAACCCTGATTTGGCACCCAATGACTTTTTATTCCCGCATATCAAGAATAAATTACGAGGTCGACGTTTTTCGACGCCTGAAGATTCGAAATGGGAATGGTGCTTTGAAAATTGGTTAATGCGCATGCAAAAATGTTTTTATTTTCACGGAGAAGATTTTAGAAGACAATAAAGCCACATATGATGATTTTTTTGTTCTCTACTCCCGAAATATAAAGTACCTACCGTTGTCTTTAGTCCTGATTATTAATGTCTTTGTCACTGGTACTAGAACTACTAACGCAATGCACATTATTTTGATTTAAAATAAATGGAAAATTGCACACAATTTTTACACATGTACATATTTAAAACTAAAAATATTCACAATTTTCATCTTATTCAACATTTATCAGTTCGTAAACAAGAATTTGCAAAATCTATGCGTAGCAAAACAAGAAAGTCTGTGTAAAAATCGGTATTTAAAAAAATGGAGTAAAAAATGGTTTGTATTTTAAGCAGGAAGACAACTTTCATATCTTGAGATTCCCGCCAATTTGTATGACAATCCAATTTGGAAACTATAATAGTGTTTCTACTCATAAAAATAATGATGCGAGTTTCTACATCATAGTCAATATATTAACGGAGTTACATAAACATAACCTCAAAGTTATTTTTCATAACATTTACCAGTTTACAGATTTTCTTTCAATTTGGTATACTTATTATTGATAATAAACTGCATCTGCGAAAAAATCTTACATGGCAAACCTATTAAGTAAAAACATAAGTGAGTAACTCTGATAACATTTGGTTTTCATGTGTGCCTAGGAAAAAAACTAAAATGTTCTGCCAAATTTAACACCATCTAGCATCTAGCGGCTAAGCGAAACAACTTAGAGGCAATATAACAATTAATAGAGAGGTTAAATGAACGTGTCAAATGACAGGAGAGGACTTTTTTATCGATGTTTTATTTGATTTATTACTACAATTAAAACAAGTGACGTCATAACCCTTGAATTTGTGAACTTTGTGAATTTTCCAAGTAACATTCCAAGTAACATTACCGAAAAGAACACTGTAGGGTTCGGTCTTCCATTACTATCGAATAAGAGCAAGCAAAAAAAGTGTAAAGCATGCTCATTGTAAAAATAATCAGAATGTAATTACATTTTCAAATCTTTTAACAATACTTATTTCAAATATTTGATACAACTTGTATGCCATGTTTATTTGTGTGATAATTTTTTTTTTATTACCATAAAATTAAATAATCCGGCAAAAAACTTGTCACGTATATTTTTATTTTTGTAGAACAAAAAGCAGAGAGGATAGCTATTTACCTAAATAAGAATAAAATACATACAATGACAACTTTCATTATAGAATAGTAGGGGTTCCGTGACAAAATACTACATATTTTACTGATTGTATGGATTTTCCATTAGGTATAGTGTCAATAAATAAAATTTCTTGTAATTTTTTTCCGATAGTTCGACAACTTTATTAGGTATGTGAACGTAGATAGGTACACTTCCAATTCTTCTAGAATCTACATAAATATATTTAAATCATCATTTTGGTACAAGTACGTCCGACTGCAATAAGAGTTATCAAATTTCTATAGTACGCCACTGGTCCTGACTACCTACTTAAGTAATCCGCAAATAAACAGAATCGATTCTATTTATAATTTATCTTCATTAAGTTTTATCTTTTAATAAGTGCGTTCTTTTATGAGGTACCTAGACGATTTTAATAATAGAAATTTGATGGAAGGTATTTTCTTGCAAGTTATGTTCTTTCTTGGTTGGCCCAATAGAAACTCTGGAGTTTTCCACCTATTCGCGCCATTGTCGTGTTTAGAATTATGTCAATCTCCCCGAAAACACCTAATCCAAGGTGCGTATCGCCTGATAAATCAGCAACCCCACGTTAGGGGCACCGCATTCGGCCGCCGTTATAATGGAAATATGAAAATAATTGGATCACGCCGCTTAGTGGCAAATACGATATTAGCCAATGTGCAAAACGTTTAATTCTCACTGGTATACGAAGTTGTGCAATTGCATTTGGCTCCGCCCACTAAGTACGCCGCTCTACGTACCCGTATTGCGGCCGGCCAGCTGCGTAACTCGAGAGTGGCCTATGGGGGTCGTTCGGCACTAGGCGGCATTCGGAAAATTTTCAGTTATGTCCACTTGCGAAATATGTTACTGTCGTCAATTTAAAATATTCAGAAACAAAAAAATGAAAGGAAATATAAGTTATTGCAGCCATACTTCAACTTCGTTTGCTGGTAAAAACATTATTAAATAGTAGTACTTATAGCCTTAAAAAAATGTTATAATATTTAAAAAAATATATTTTCATGCCCTTTTAAATTTCCAGGCTCTTAGGTACATACCTACTGAAAATTTTTGTTTACGATCAATTTTTAGTCGTTATGCAATTAAAAATATAATTTGCTAGGAAGTAGGAACCCAGTAAAATAAAATGGCGAAATTTAAACTAAGAAAGGAATAAAAATATAGGTAACATAAAATAATAGAGTTGTTTTATTATTTTCTCCAAAAGCTTTTCTTAAAATGTTTAACAATTATGTTAATCTGTATCCTCGTTTTATACTTATTTTTAATAAACGTACTTTTAAACTTTTTATTTTCATAAAAACGCATACAAACGTACTCTCGTAACTAACGTACTTTCGTAATACCATACTACTATTGACAATTGATACCAACCTATCTCTACCACTAGAGGGCTGTTACCAACCATACCCATAGAACATTAAAATAAGTTATAATTCTAACATTTTTCTAACAATTATTTATTCATTTGGATCATTCTAATCGTGAAGACAAAAAAACAATGCATATTCTACCTAATTCGTTACTTGTGTGACATTTATTTAACATTTTCCATTTTACTCTGCAATTGGTTACACTTAAGCAACTTTCTGTTTTTGGCATTTCCATCTAGACCACAGTGCATATCGCTATAAATTAAAGAAAACCCTTAATTTTACTTCTGTCAGTATGTATAGTGAGTACGTCGTCATTCCTCATGGTTAATATTATTTTCAATAATGATTCTAACGAAATATGATCTATACCTGTCATTTTAAATATGTTCATATAACTTTACATAGTATTTTACTTAAGTAAACGATCCTATTAAATTAAAATGTATTGTATTAATTCATTTTTACTTTATAAAAGAAATGTCCATCTTTCGTGTATTCGTTATTTTAATGAAATGAATTCCATCGATCTACTATTATTATTGATTTATTTAAAAAATTCTAACCTCTGATTGGCTCTACATAGGCCAACACACTGAAATTATTATGAATAAAGTAACACAGCCAATTTAATACTGAAATTACATTTAACTGGTAGGTAGGTACTATTGAATTATTTTCAAAGCAAAATATAGGTACTTCTTTTATGATTGTTTAACAACTTATCCTATACTATACTTTAATATTTTGTTTAATGTTTAAATATTGAGAAAACACCTTTCATAATTTTAGTCAATTTGAAATATATTTGAGAAACTTTAGAAACATGTGAATCGGGAACGTACTCCTAAGGCCAAACTAATTTTGCATCAGTTAATCTATCTGAACATACTATATTCTACTGTCTGTCATTCAATCTCGGTCATTTACTCATTCATTTTTATTATCATTTTTATTCGCTCTTCCTTCACTCAATTTTGTTGGTGTTTTGTGATCCCTGCTGGGACCTCTGTAAATTATATTTAGTGTAAATAAATGCAATATAATTTCATACGTCTCTATTAGTAGTACTTATAAAGTAGGTGTAACATTTATTTATCTAGAATTGCATTAGATTAAGTCATACGGTACGCTTCAGAATGAGTGCACAACCAAGCCCTGCAAACCAAACTGTTGAGAGAGAAAAAGTTTACATGTGGATATTAGAATTAACGAATCCAGAAACCAGAGAAAATGCTCTGCTTGAACTAAGGTGAGTTTACATATTTTTGTGATATAATCATATGTTGATGTGTGTACTACCCTGCATAAATTGTAGTAAGAAACGGGAAGTAGTACCAGACCTTGCCCCCATGTTATGGAACAGTTTTGGAACAACAGCTGCATTGCTTCAAGAAATTATAAATATATATCCTGCTATCAATCCTCCAACGTTAACAGCGCATCAATCGAATCGGTAAATAAATTATAAGTTTTTGACAAACTGAGAAAGACCATAACATTTTCAGAGTTTGTAACGCTCTCGCACTACTCCAGTGTGTAGCTTCACACCCGGAAACTCGATCGCAATTTCTCTTGGCACACGTTCCGCTATTTCTTTATCCATTTTTGCATACGTCGTCCAAAACCCGCCCTTTCGAATATTTGAGGTTAACTAGTCTAGGGGTTATAGGAGCACTAGTAAAGGTAACAGTAACAAGTGAGTTAATTCAAAGTGATAAAATAGGTAAATTTTTTTAGACTGATGAACAAGAAGTTATAACCTTCTTGTTAACAACGGAAATCATACCGTTGTGTCTTAGAATAATGGAATCCGGATCTGAACTGAGCAAGACTGTGGCGACTTTTATTTTGCAGAAGATTTTATTGGACGACAGTGGTCTGTCTTATATTTGTCAGACTTACGATAGGTTCAGTCATGTGGCAATGATATTGGTAAGTACCAAATTTAAGAAATTTATTTTATGCCGTTCAATAGGTCAAAGCTCAATTACATAATGGAAATACAGGAAAGGGGTGAAGAGCAAATAAAAAATTATATATAACAGTAACAATCACATCAAAACATATAAAAAACAGTAAAAAATTTAAAAAAAACTTTCAAATTAGCAATAATGAAATATGTCGATTCTTGAGGCCATTATTAAAGATGTTACACCTAAAATATCCCATAAGTAATGTTTTGCATGTCTTCTAGAGTTTTAAAGCAAAATCTTATGATATATTCCATCCTTTATAAAATGCAAAAAATTAAGAAAATGCCCTTGAACCCAATCCAGGCTGTTAACATATGTTGCGTAGCCAAATTACACATAGCCCAGTAAATGAAAAAAAAATTGTTACAGATTGAAACTTGATATAATCGTTAGTTTAGACAAAAATAAATAATATTTCCCAAAAAGTATCGGTTTAAAACATCAAGATCAATGTTTAAACAATGATTATAATGTAAAAATTACCAAAAATTGAGTTTTTTGGCTGTATTAAAAAGCGCTCTCCAACAGGAGTTTTTGCTTTTGTTTATACTTATAGGTTTTCAAAAAACGCTCCTAAATTAAAATCCATTAACAATTTGTTTAAATAATTGCAAAAAAAACAGTAAAATTTGAATTTGCTATAAATAGAAGAAAAGAGCATAAATCTAAACTGCAGTAAAAGTTGTATTTTGTTACGCTTAAGAAACCCTGAAAATTTGGTAAAAAAATATTTGTTTGTTTACGAGTTTTTTCAATTGCAAAAACGTGGTTGTTAGCGTTATAATAAAGGGCCTTATGAGCAGAGAGCGGACAATTTGTGTCTTTAACCTTGAACATAGATATGTCATTCATAAACCTAGATATATTATCCATGACGCAGTGGCGTGTCGGATATGCATCGGAAATTTACGTGATAATTCACGAAAATTCCACGGTACATACATTTTTAGGCGTTATAAAATATTTTGAAAATCAGAAATTGTATACTACATATTTATTAAATGAAGTTCGGTTAAAAATAGTGTAATTCTTTTAATTGGAAATTAGGAGTCAATGTAACGAATAGCCTCAGGCGACGGACATGATAGAATAGTCCAACTCACGCTCCATTCATAACAGGGCTGCAGTTTGAATTCTGACCAATATGAATTCGATAAACGCAACCGATGTCGACGGATAGACTAGAGATGGGCGCGAGTGTCATTTTATTTCTTTAGAACTAAATTAACTTAATTATTTTCTCGTTATTTAACCTGTTCACATGATTTATGGATTTTAAATAAAGGGTACAAATCTTCGCGAGTATAATACGATATATTTGCTATACATAATAATTATATTTTGCATAGTTTATACACAATACATTTTTGAACGCGTACACATCTCTACCAAAATTTGACCTATTCTTCGGGTTAAAGACACACATTGTCCACTCTCTACTTATGAGGGTTCATTTGTTTCGTCTTGACTTATATTTTCAAGATATGCAATTGGAAATTGTAATTTCATGGTTTTCAAGTTTATTTTAATGAGAATCGAGTTTTTGGATGTAATATGCATATTATTATTTTTTAACTTTAAATTACATATATTTTAAAACAGGTAAGTAAATTAAAACAGTCGATTCCCATTAAAATAAACTTTATACATAAAAAATATATCATTTTCTAAATTTTTTTACATAAAAATATTGTTTTTTAAGAAAATTGTTTATTGGTACCATTTTGAATAATTATTTCTCGAAAAAATGCGAAAAAAAAATTTTTTTATATAAAATGGATAGTTTATAACAAATTACTAATTAATTATTGCAAAATGGACCATATAGATGTTATTATTTTCATGCACTACCCCAGATTAAAAAAAAACGTTAAAATTGGTCCACAATTACTGGAGATATCGCAAAATTTTTGTCTGTCTTATTTCCCCCGCCACATTCCAGGTGTAAAAATGTAATCGAGGATGATTTTCAGAGGGTTAAAAATTACTATAAAATGCATTTTTTTCGATATCTTCAACCGTTGTTATGAAGTTTAAGGGTTGATTGATTTATTCCCGAAACTTCAAGTCTTAATATTTATAAATAATCAAGTTATGAATTTAAAAAAAAAATGCTATCTTGGCTAAAAATGGTCCTAGAATAATTTTTTTTTTAATTTGAAAAAAATTACCAGAATTACGAATATCAAAGCGGCTTTAAAAAATATTCATTCTTCGTAATGTTATTGGTGAAAAACCTTATAAACAAGTTACAGTATTTGTTTATATGCCGTTTTGAGGAGGTTAGCCTATGAAATAACAATTTCCAATAGCATATCTTGAAAATATCTTTTTGCAATTGAAAAAATGCTATTTCTAATAAACAAATGCAAAAACTCGTAAACAAATAAATATGTTTTTACCAAATTTTCAGGGCTTCTTAAGTGTAACAAAATACAACTTTTACTGCAGTTCAGAGACGGTTTATGCTCTTTTCTTCAGTTTATAACAAATTCAAATTTCACTGTTTTTTTTTTGCAATTATTTAAACAAATTGTTAATGGATTTTAATTTAGCAGGTCTCAAATGAAGCGTTTCTTGAAAACCTATAAGTATAAACAAAAGCAAAAACTCCCGTTGGAGAGCGCTTTTTAATACAGCTAAAAAACTCCATTTTTGGTCATTTTCACATTATAAACATTGTTTAAACAATGATCTTGTTGTTTTAAACCGATACGTTTTTGGAAATATTTCTTTTTGCCTAAACTAACAATTAAACCAAGTTTCAATCTGAAACGAATTACCTTTTGATCTACATTACAAATTTCATTTACTGGGCTAACAGGCATATTGTAATTTTAACCCAACGACGATCATGCCTGTAACAGAAGAATGCGGATATGCTCACGTTCCTCCACAAAAACTTTGAATGTTTTACAGTATAGTGAATACCTACATTTAAATTAATATATTTTGTTTAATGAATTTATATATTTCCTTATTTAGTTTGTATTTTGCTTTTATTTTGTGCTAAACTTGTATTTTTAATCTATTCTATGATGAATTTCCACTATCGATAGTTATCGATTGTTCGCTCGTTGCCTATCGATAATTATCAATGGTGCTGACCATCGATAGTTCTCGATCTCTACTAATTACTGTTTACTTAAACCATGAAGTTCTACGCATCGCTCCTGCTTTAAGACTGAAGATTCAAAAATAGATATTAGAATTTCATAAAATTTATCAGTTGCCATTTTGGATTAATGAAACCTTTGTTCCAGGGAAAAATGGTGATTTCTTTGGCAAAGGAACCTTCAGCGAGACTTTTAAAACACGTCGTGAGGTGTTATTTGCGTCTTTCTGATAATCCTAGGTAGTCGATCATAGCCGCTTTATACTGCATTCGAAACTCATATTTCATATTTTTAGGGCTAGAGAAGCTCTGAGACAGTGTCTTCCGGACCAGTTGAGAGACAACACATTCAACGTGTGTCTTCAAGAGGATAAGTCGACTAAACACTGGCTGTCGCAGTTACTGAAGAATTTGGAGTCCACGGCGGCTACGGATCCCCGTCAGGTTGGCATGTCCCCATTGACATCTCAATAGATAGCATATAAGTTTAAAAGTTTGAAAACACAATGCTCACAAAATGAAAACCGCTTAGATTGCTGTATAATTTGTAAATAAGAGTTTTTATGGTGCAGGTCAACAGGTGAATGTAATAGTAATTTGTGCTAAAGTGATTCACCTTGCTATTTTTTTAGGGGACTAGAATGTGGGTAAAAATCACTTGTCTTAGATTATCCTCGATTAGTCAGTAGTTTTCGTAATGTGATTGGTCTTGCAGTAGATTTAATCTAACGTTTTTTTCGGTGACTGATCATAAGAGAATCCGGCTTCGAAGGACCAAATTGCTTGAAACTTCATTGTAGAGTTAGATTTTTTCTATTGAAGCTAACGACAAATTAAAGAGTACCTGCTATTGCTGTTCTTAATCAGTCAGTCAATTTCTACAGCTTTTGTGGGTAATTAAATATAGACCTTCCTACTAACGAAGAATGTATATAAATAGCACTTTTAAATTCAAAGCTTTGCTTTACTTACGTTAGCTTATTAGTATAAGCTTATAAGTATTTATTGTTTCTTCTAAATGCTTCTTTTTATAAGAAAATTTCCCGACGAGATTTAGGCCTAACGTACATTTTTTAAATTTTAGTTTGGCTTCCAAAACCAAAATTGAGAAGCGATGCACACGAAAATCCCTTGCCTGCGATGAATCTAAAATCTTGTTGTGGGCAGTGTGTACCAATTCGAGATATGTGATATAACGAAATATAAGATTAGTTTATGAGATGCCAATTTCCGCTTCTCTCTATCCGAGCGTCTTGAATTGTTATGGTATTTATTTAAGAAAATTATATTTTGACAAAAAGTGGATACCCTGAAACTGTCTGTGTTCTAGCTGTAAATATATTTTTTATTCGGAGTGCAGTATTTTACTTTGCGATGAGCGGACCCAGTAACTTTTTGCGGATCACATGGCATTAGATCTGGTGAGTACGACGGACAGTGGAAAAGTTGATTATCAGAGAATAACATTGTGTAAAGTTATTTTACTGTTACTTGTCAAATAATTATTCTTTTGTAGTATTTTGAATGTTTTGTATTCAAAGTTTGATCAAAAAGTAACGGAAATTCTCAAAAAGCATTTATTTAGTCTTCGATTTTTATCTCATCCCCTTCAAAGTAGTCCTCCACTCTTATGACAATGTAGTTTCCAGTTTGAGAATTTGGGAAATAAGAAAAAGTCACAGGGATCATGTCTGGAGAATAGGGTGGTTGTAGCAACACAACACATGTGTTTTGTTGGATAAGCAAAGCGGTATGCGCCGGTGTATTATCGCGGTGCAAAATCCACGAGTTGTCTTTCGTGTTCTTGTCGTTTTCTCCTGATTGCCTCACGCAAATTACGCAAACCTTGTTAACCGATATAACCGGTCAGTAAAAATTTCTGATGAACTATTCGATTGTAGTCAAAGAAAACAGTTAGAAGGACCTTCACATTTGACCAGATCTTGCCTCATCTTCGATGTCTTCTTGGCCTTCCTGAAAACATTTGTACCATCGATAATCTTGTGGCTATGGTCACTTGAACGCTTCGCTGGTCTTAATTCCGTTTTTAACACAAAATATCACAACTCTCTGATACGACATTTTGCCACACAAAAAATTGCTAAAACCACGAGGTAAGTCTTAGTCATTCGCTCGCTAAACACAAACTACACATAGCAGCTGCCTAAAAATTGACAAGTACGTTACTGAACCTAACAGTGTTACCAATACAAAAAAAAAGGATCAACTCGATATACCAACATGCGCAATTTGAAAATTCCCGTTACTTTTTAATCAAACCTCGTATGCTACTTGAAAGTGAAAAGAGTTACTGGGAAAGTTTGCTAAGTCTAAAATCTATAACGAATTCAATATTTCAATAATTTATCTGTAATTTATATTATTTACATTTTTGTAATTTAAAACCGTGATGTGAAATGGAATTGTAAGGAAAAAAAACAAGTGAAATTAACATGTATAGTCCAAACTTTATCAACAAGAAAAATAAATCATATTGTATCTACTGTTTGTAACTGCGATGGATGAAAATGATAAATTTTGGATGGAGAAGGAATAGTTTTGACGCAATTTTATATTTTTCATTAAATATATAACTGTTCACGATCTCTTAGGTGACCTGACTTGTGATTTTTTATTTATATTTGGTTCTGTGGATTTTTTTTTGTACCTGTGCTTAATATTTTACATTAAATTTATTATGGAGCAATGTTTCTCGTTATTTACAATAAAAATATGTCATATATGACCCAGAAATAAAATCATCCTTTGTCGATGTTGACTGTTGTGGATGGAGCGGTTTTTGGCTGCTTGGAGTGAGTTTGAGCACAACGACGGGATTTTGGAAAGATAAGTGAAATTTTCCAATTTCACGCCTCTGGGGTTCTGGGTGCTTTGCGGTCCCGATTGGAAAGATAGGTGAATGTATTACTGATATTACGTCAAAGTCCATTACATAATAGTTATTCCATTTGGTTATGATTTTTTTAGCTTTTTATATTTATAAGTTCAGTCCAAGAATAACAAACATGTGTATGTCATCTAATCTTTAAATACTTGAAACAAATGTCAAAATTGTAGACTATAATTAGAATCATCGCTATTGAATAAATCAGTCAAAAATTTGCCGATAAATGAATAAATTAGAAACAATTCTATTCTTTCCACTTTATTGGCCAATTTATTGAGGCTAGTGAATTGTTTTCCAACTTTTTAACCATTAAGAAAAACAACAAAAAATACTTTTTTTCAATTTAGATGACAAGATTAACTTAATTATTTACTATACTGGCACTCCAATTTTCAGAAAATTTTGTCTACCCCCCTATTTCCGATGGTGCTGAACACGAATCTGAAGTTTTTTTTGTGCGGTCGAATCCAGTTTTCGAGCCAAAAATTTTTCAATATTCTAACCAGGATAAATAATAAATACATATTTTTTTACTTGAAATTTACGAAAATGTGTTTTGTGAACAGTGTTAATTGTTCATAACAGAGGTTCTGAAAGCTACATAAAATATTCAGAGTTCTAAGCAGTGTTATCTGAAATAACCAGGTTAGAATTTTGAAAAAAAATTTTCTCGAAAACTAGGTTCGACCGCACAAAAATAACTTCAGATTCGTGTTCAGCAGCAACGAAAATAGGGGGGTAGACAAAATTTTGTGAAAATTGGAGAGGGTGCCACAATACTAAATAATTACTAGATTTAAAAATATGTTTGTTTTTACTAACATAAAATAAATAAATACATTTTGCACAATAAAATTCAATTATATTATGTGTAGCTCTGAACCATTTTTGGGAATTTTTAGTTAACTGGGTTCTATAGCAAATAGGCAACCAGCAATACATTTTTATAGATTTTATTACACAGTTTGTCTAAATATGAATTAATGCAGAAGTAACAGACTTCCCTCCACTTTAACGCAGATTTTCTATAAAATGAAGTTAATTTGAAACTGAAATTAAGTTTTGGTGTACAAAAATTTGTAATTTACGATGCCACTTGTTCAAAAGCAGCAAATTACAAATTTCTTTACAACAGAAAATAATTTGAATTTCAAACTAACTCCATTTTATAGAAAATATGCGTTAGAATGGAGGAAAGTTTGTTATTTGTGCATTAATTCAAATTTAGGCAAACTGTGTACTAAATTCTATAAAAATGTATTACTGGTTGCCTATTTGCTATAAAGTCTTAAGTTTATTAAAAGCACATGCAAGTTTGGTTGCCTAACACTCGTGGTTACATGAGATTTAACATCTGAAAATAACGATTATTATTGGCCGTTTAGGATAGGGATTTTTGAAACTAAAATGAGATGGATCACTATCGACTGTTTTCTGGTATCAAGAGATACAGAGTCTTTATAAATTATTACAAACAACATGACCAGTAACTTCGTTTAGATCAGTACCTTTATTTCCTTCATGTTGGCAATTACATTTCACTAAAATTTAAATTACTTTAAAAACCAACATTCTATTTCGTCGGCTGTGATTGGTGCAATTTTCACGAGATTCTGATCGTATTGTCACAGACGTAAACATAGCAATCTGTCATTGTTCATTATAAACGAATAATTAATATTGGTGACAATAAGATTTAACGGTACCAGCCCTGGATTGTTGCTTGCCTAAGCTCGGCGGACATGTGGCTTCTAAACATTTATGAAGGCTACGTAATGTTATATTTAAAAAGTAATATGTATCTAATTCCTGACAACGGACAATTAGTTTTGAATTACACAGTACACATTATGAATACAGACGTAACATAACATTAAAATCTTAATTGTTTTTCAAACACTTTGTAACATAAACTGATTTACTTCCTAAATGACAAGGTTAGTGACTGATGTGGTTAACATTTAAAGTTTCTGAAAAGCCTTTTTGTGGTATACATGTAAAGTAAAATTTAAAAAATAACACATTGCCAATTTTAATGAACTAATTTTTTCATCAAAAATATTTAGAGCAGACATTTATTTAAAATTAACAACACTTCCATTTTCTTTTCTGTTGAAGAAAACTAGCCCAGCAGTTTTAAAGTAATGTATTTGATCAGCACCGTTTACCAAACGAAAAAAAAAAACAACTATTTGTATATATAATAGACTTTATTTACATAAAACTAGTATAACTACACATTTTTAAATTACTAATACTTTTGAGACAGCATTAAACATCGCCCCATTGATGCAAGAATTTCATGTATCTTGTATAATGGATATAAAAACAGGGGTGATGCTGAATGCCGTAAACCTTACATATATACAAATATCACACATTCTGAATTTTAAAAACTCTGAAAGGAATGCTCCACGGTTCGTTGGCACCGCCACAATTTCACAACCGCTTCATGAATGCTTCTGAAATAATTTTTAAAACTGAAATCTTCGTTCATCTCAAATCAATCTTACAACCAAAGTCATGGTATTTGAAGGAAACACATTTATATCCATATTTACACTCGTAACATAAAAACGATCTAATTCCATCACAATTTATAAGTCAATATGAAAATATTATTCGCCGGTAATGAATACCATGAAAAATTGCCCGATAAAGTTTGATTTGAAACGACAGCATTCATTATGTTTGAAAAATAAAACGCTACTGTGAACTTTTAAAGATAACGGGTGCCAACTAAAAGAACCTTGAAAAACAAGTTTAAAACAATTATTTACAAGTTAATTTTTGTCATTTGGGCCATTTACGATTACGTTCATTTACATATACTTCCGAAACACTATACATATTTGATAATATTCAACTTAAAAGAACATCCAATAGAATCCAACACTACTATGATTAAATCATTAACAGAATTTAGAGACCGGTGGTCAGATATTTGCCGAAGGCACTTCCAATATTTCAAAATACAAGAAACAAAATAGGGAATGTCGCACACTTACACATATCCATTGGCAGGTTACAAATAGAATAAATAATTATCACATACCTTCTTGGACTAAGCGATTGAAATAATAATGGACTATATTAACGTTTAATAGTTTGTACAATGGTTTTTCTATCATCATAAAGACAGTAGAAAAAAATATATTTGACAAAAACTCCTCTAAAAGTGCCATAAAGTTTATCGGATTTAGATAAAGTCACGTTAAGAGGATACTTATTATACTGTTCATTTAGAACAATGTCAGTGGCTGAATTTTACAATGTAACTGTTGTAATTGTTGAGCACCATAACCTCTTGAATTGTTATTAGTTAAACATTATGTAAGTGTAATATTTTCGTTGTTGAGTATCTAAAATTTTTGGAAACAATAAAATTCTTTGGCGTCGGATTTAGTTCATCTTAAACTACTTAAAATCTACAGTTGTGCAGTTGCCAACATTGAAAAATTGTGCTTTCTGGATGGCACTCCTGATTGAAACTATTTTGTTATAATAGTCGTCGATACAACCGGATTACGAGACTTTTTGGCATCGTCTAATCTAAATGATTTGAATTATCCCCCGTGTTGTAGATTTTTGGGTCCCTTTCTTGAGCCACGAAAATTTACTGTTGTGTGACGACCTAAAATTGGTCACAACTCAAACTATTTTTACCTTCCAAAAATTGTACGGGAAAAAACAAAACTCGCAATTTTGATCACAAATAACTTTGAGCATAGAATTTGCTTTTTGAGGTCTATGTTTATAACAAGTACGCTTGAAAAATTTTCTTTATTAATAACACAGGCACACAAAAAAAAATCATGAACCAGAGACCCTAAAAAATTATTCCAATTGCCCGTTTTCCCGCTTTTACCCCCTGAAGGGGGTTGAATTTTAAACTATCATAACCATGTTTATTTTGCCTTTCGATATTTTGAACTTGACACCTTATTCTAGACAAGATATTTTAATTTTTTTTCCGTTTGCATTTTGTTTTCTCTTTAAGTTTAATGTTTTTGCTCTTCAGCGACCAATCTGATTTACGTTTAAAAGATGAATCTAATTTTATGCCTCCGGAATAGAATTGATTCCGTATCTACTTTTGCGACTAAGACACCTCCACGTGGTGAAGGCAGATAACAGTTTAACTGGCTTAGAAGATCGTTTGAAAGCAAGAGAGTTCGTTATCAGAGAAAGAGGTAAATGCCAAATCGTGAGAGGCAAAGGGACTCACGTTAATCAAGCACTCCAAATCGTGTGAGACAAGGGACTCACGTTAATCAAGCACCCTGAATCTTGTGAGGCAAGAGGACTCACTTTAATCAAGCACCCCGAACCGTTAATCAAGCACCCCGAACCGTGAGAGGCAAGGGGACTCACATTAATCAATCACCCTGAATTGTGAGAGGCAAGGGGACTCACGTTAATCAAGCACCATGAACCGTGAGAGGCAAGGGGACTCACGTTAATCAAGCACTCCGAATTGTGAGAGGCAAGGGAAGTCACGTTAATCAAGCACCCCGCACCGTAAGAGGCAAGGGGACTCACGTTAATCAAGCACCCCGAATTGTGAGAGGCATGGGGACTCACTTTAATCAAGCACCACGAACCGTGAGGAGGCAAGGGGACTCACACGTTAATCAAGCACCTCGAATTGTGAGAGGCAAGGGGACTCACGTTAATCAAGCACTCCGAATTGTGAGAGGCAAGGGAAGTCACGTTAATCAAGCACCCCGCACCGTAAGAGGCAAGGGTCTCACGTTAATCAAGCACCCCGAATTGTGAGAGGCATGGGGACTCACTTTAATCAAGCACCACGAACCGTGAGAGGCAAGGGGACTCACACGTTAATCAAGCACCTCGAATTGTGAGAGGCAAGGGGACTCACGTTAATCAAGCACCCCAAAGGGAACAGAAACCTACCACCTCCACGCCATTGTTCCTGGGTTGCGCTAAGAGTTGAACCAAATCAAAAATACATCTAAGAGCTAATATTTCTGATCAGTGAAGTATTGACGTTTACAACATAGAAGCTGGAGGTACTATTTAACTTGTCTATTTAACAGGTAATTGACTCTGGATCATTGAAATTTCGAGCATTGAGCCCATGAAAACTTTGGTTTTCTTCTTTTTTCTGAAAACGTTAGCGCAATTTACCGAGAGCCAACTTTCATATGGATCCTGCTGGTTCTTTTAAATGATTGTAAGAGAGTGCAAGAGGGTAATCGAGTAACTGGATATCATTTTTTGTAGTCATTTTCGGTTTCAGCGTCCCAAAAAACATAGAAATACGCATACATTTTAATTTTGTATGAAAATTTAAAATTCAACCCCCTTCAGGGGGCGCTAGCGGGAAAACAGGCAATTGAAATGATTTTTTATGGTCATATTCGGTTTCAGCAACCCCAAAAACCTAAGAATAGTGGGGGTCTACCCTCTGGTTCATGAATTTTTTTTATGTGCCTGTGTAATTTGTGCTTATTCAACTTTTTAAATTATTCTTAGTTCAAATATTTTTGAGCAAAATATACAATGAGGCCTATGAACAACTGAGACACTTCACTAAATTTATTTAGGATGCAGGAGTGAAATAACTTTTTTAAATAAATAGTGGCCTTATTACAATTACTCCGCATTACAAATGGACGAAATTTCAGATTAAGTTTTTAATATTCCTCGAGCTATTCAAAACAAATTTCAACAGTCAAAAGCATTCCGATATAATGCTTACATAAAGTTCAAAACTCATTGTATCGAATCAAATGCGACTGTAGGAAACTGATTCTATTGCGATAGGAGCAAAGCTAATGTGATTTTAGAAAAATAACTTTGGAAAAATAAACAGCTTGCCATGGATTAATTGCAATTCGTTCGATTATATCTAAGAGGCACTATTTATAAAAAAAAAGTTGAGCGCTAGAAAAAAATTTCGAGGCATGTCCTTGTTCTTAGTGAGTCACACTGTATATTTTTTTATCAATCTAAGAATGTTGATAGCATATTGGATTTCTAAGATTTGGTTTTATAGCTCATCCTTCCTTGAACTAAGTCTTTGCTTTGAGACTTGGAGTGTTATGACTTCAACAAGATAGTCATTTGCCGATGTATTGAAATTGTCATTGTCCGAGTTTCCTCTGCGATAATACAAATGAGTATCAAATAGAAAAATATTTTTTACAAATGTATAGTGAGCAATTAACTACTCAGAAAATTTAGAGGGACTGGAAATCATTGTTTAAAATGACTTTTCCTTTTGATTTTTTGAAAAACAGATACTATTTTAGTGCGTTTTTTCTACTAAACACTAACTTTTTTTCTAATAGCTTGGAAAACGTAGTAGTATGGCAGTTTTTCTTGAAACGTTTGTTAAAACTAACATTAAATGCAGTTTATAATAATTAGTTTCACTCATTTTTTGTTACATAATTCCCCTTCTCGTACATTATTGTCTTAAAAGCTTAGAATATAAAACTCTTCAAAATTTCAATGTTCTCTCAACTACCAAGCTTTCATATAAAAATCTCGTCAAGCAAGAAAATAAAAAATACAATGAGTATTCATCGCCTGGCTGTTATTTCCGTCTGGCTGTCGTCCTCACTTTCCGTAAGGGCAGCCAGTTGTGCGTCCGGTAGAATTGTGAGGTGGGTTGCATCCGACTGAAGCGTACTACATTCGCCTTGGCCGTCTGTGCTGTCTTTTTTTTGCAACTGCTGTACGAAATTCTGAAAAATTATAAATTTAACGATATAAACTCTGACGATTAGCGCAAGTATTAGATTTTTACCTGGCTTATAACATCTCCATGAGCCGTTCGAACTTGATAAAGATATCTGTACTTCTTTTGCCGCATTTCAGCTCGGTCAGCTCTCGTAATGCCTCTGGTACTTGGCCTCGGCTTTTTTCGTCCAGCTGCTGCTGAAATTACAGTAAAACGAAAAATTGCTTCCATTCCAAAATGTATATTTTCTAACAACTTACTACATATCTGTTTATCTCATTAACAAAGCTCTTTAAACTACTACAAATTTTACACATACATCACGTCCTAAGACAACTACAAAAATAGATTTTCTAAATCTGATACTGAGAAGCATGTAAAGAAACTGTACCGTCTTCGTGATGGATCCCCCTGCCTGTAAAAGCGAACTGAATTATCAAACCCGCTAAGACAAAGGTCGGCCAAGCACCCAGCACGATCCAAGAAAACCAGCACGGCGGTGGTTGTACCGGTTTGAGGGACACCCGTTGCCACATCCAAGACACCATCGACAATCTTTCTACAAAGTAATCTATAGCTACTGAGAGCACAGCTCCTCCGTATAAACTTGAGCCCAGTATCGTGAGACCTATAAAGATGAAAAAGTGTTTATAATTAAAGAAGAGAGAACATATCTTTCTTAAGTTGCCCTTTCATAGGAAAGTAAAATGTCGCATTTTGGTACTGAATAATACAGGGTGTCCCACCGTGAACTGCGTCAATTGATATCTAGGAAAGTACTGCTCCGAAAATCATGAAAATTTGGCAAACTAATATACCTAGAACTCTCTAGCTCTTCTGGTTATACCGGAAGTCGATACCAACTTCGTTATTTTAAATGGAACACCCTATATATTATTGCATTTTCGGATTCTATGTGAAATTTGAGGGTCACTTTATTAAACATTCCCTATACCTAGGAGTTATAGATTCTGAGATATGAGTTTTTAAAGAAAAAATTTGACAGATGCAAGGGTCCGCGGAGATGCTAGTAACTCTTTACAGGAGTGTAATATCAAATGGATTTTTAGTACCTGTAAAGGACATAGGTAACACTAAATTATGGTATACCAACAAATTAAAACATTTAATACTAAGCGTTGAATTTTTGCTGTTACATTTTGATAACTTCAAAGTTCAAACAGCTATAACTTTGTTAACTTAAACGGAACACCCTGTATTTTTTTACTCTGTTGTATGGAGATAGAAATTTCCTTTCAAGCCATATAATCATTGTTAGGGCTACCATTACTACTTTTAGAGATATTTGAAATTTTCTCTTTTTTGGACACTTTTTCTCATATCAGACCTGTTGTCAAATTGGCCATGACCAGAAACACTTCAAAATGTCAAGTTAGTTTTCAAATTATTGTTGTCTCAAATAGATTTTGGTGAAAATTTAGATAAAAATGCCTGGGGATCGTTTAAATTATACTTATGAGGATTATTTTTATTTGTTTGTTATTTATGGAAAAAATCGATAGATTCTCCACATGTTCTTAAATTTACTTTGACACATTTTCCATAAATAACAAACAAACTAAAATTTAAATTTTCGGCAAAAACTATTCGAGACACAACAATAATTTAACAGTACTTGACACCTACCTATGATCTTTGTAGATACCAAAAATCCACTTGACATCACGCTCCTGAAAAGAATTACTAGCATCTTCGCGGACCCTTGCATCTGTAAAATTTTTTCTTTAAAAATGAATATCTCAACATCTATAACTCCTAGGTATAGGGAATATTTAATAAAGTGACCCTCAAATTTCACGTAGAATACGAAAATGCAATAATATATAGGGTGTCCCATTTAAAATAACGAAGTTCGTGTCAACTTCCGATATAACCAGAAGTGCTGGAAGGTTCTAGATATTTCAGTTGTGTTCGCCCCTGGGACATTGCCATATTGCCAAATTTTTCGGGGCAGTACTTTCCTAGATATCGATCGACGCAGTTCCCGGTAAGACACCCTGTATATTTTAACTTGGTTCTGCTTTCCACATTAAAAATAAATTGCATTTCACACTTTCTTCAAGATAATTAAAGAATACCGCCAAAGAAATGTAAAAATAACCAAATACAAAATTTAATGTTTTCCCCCCAAGAGAGTGACTGCAAATTAATGTAATAGATGTCGCTACTCTCATTGTTCTCATGAATAATTAGTAGGAGTCCTTAGGTAATAATGGCATAATAAATTTCGGTAAATGAATTTAGCATATGTTGAAATACACTGAAAAAACACAAAAGAATAAAACAACAAACAACTGTAACCAGTACTACAGACTTGTGTCAAAAAACATTACCATCAAATATTCCAAATTCATTTTGAATTGACATGAAAATGTTAATTCTTTTAAATAATACAAAATTACCACGAGTCACCTATTCACACTGTAGTTTTACATAAATCTTAAAACATTTGGAGATATCTTCCGCTTAAATACTATGTTTTGTATAAAATTTTAATTTACCGAAACAGTGATATTTCAAACTGATTTTTGCTTACTTTTTCTAAAGTATAAGTTGAGAATGGCGGTTGTTACGGCTGAACAAAGCAGGACAGACACACACAGCCAAACGGACCCCTTGGGAGAGGTTTCCATGAAATGGTCTGCCGTCAACAGCGACGCCAAGCCCAAGAGCACGCCTGTATGCAGGCCGCTCATAAACAACCCCACGTACTGCACCAGCATTGTGATCAGTCCGAAAAGCACTCCGGCAAGTAAGGAAACTCCTGGGGATGGAAAGTAATATAAGGCATGTTGGTACAATTTTTCTATTAGGTTGATATGATATATTCTTTTTTCGCTACGATACTTACCAATGTTTCCATAATATGGCATCAGTTCACCCTGCAAACATATCAGGTATACTATACTGGACGCGAAGATGAATCCAGTGAGAAACATCGTCGTTTTGAAGCATCTGTAACCTGAAAAAATAAGGGAAAGATATAAATTTTCGTTTGGAAAAAATTCTTTTACAAATAATTTGAACTACGGCTGTAGCTGGAGTCAAATACTTGATTGAATAAAGTTTGCTATGTTAAACAAAATTTATTCTAGATGGTTTCTCCATACTGCTTCCCATAAAACTCATTTTAATTTTAATTCATTCATTTTGTAAAAATCTTTAGTTTGAATAAAAAAGATTACACCTTCCTCGTTTGCATACCATAAAAAAATAGTAGGTATTAAAATTTGACAGTGTTCATTAAACATATCTTATATGCCACTTCATTGTAAGCTTTAAAAATGGGTGGTCTTAAAATTTTTCTTATTTTCAGGATATACATATATATACAGTGTGTTTCCCTTAAAGTCCAAACACCTCCATATTAGGATGGCGTTAGCCGATTTCCTTTTTATGTGCTAGTGCTCAAAAAGGCCTACTTTTTCTTATTATATTTTTTGACATGTGATCTTTTCTACAGCCTACTATCATTAAGACCATCAAAAATTAAAAAACATATTAGGCATTTTTTTAATAAAGAAATGGATAGCATTTTCGATTTGATCACACCTCAAAACCCTAAATACAAAGTTTCGTTAATCATTATTATAGCCTTTACAGGGTGTTCACAAAATAGGTTCAAACTTCGAAAAATTTTACTCATTGCAATGTCTTGTATTAAATGAAAAATATTTTTAAGGTATTTTTTCATAATTTTAATTAATTTTTCCATGCAGTTTCATTGATTTCACGTATACAGGGTGCTCACAATAAGACAGTCAAATTATATATATTTTTTATTATACCAGAAATGACTCACAACAAAATAAAATTTGAATGTTACTGTTTTCTATTAGTCCACTGTTCAATTCGTCTCCTCTTATTTCTAATAACTGCACAACTGAAGTGGTGTTATTTGTCGACATTTGTCTAATTCTATTACATAAATTTTCTGGGGTCTTGCTCAATCCACTTAATTTTTCAAAGTTCCCTATAAAAAAAATCAAGAGGCATCAAGTCCGGAGCTGGAGAAGAAGTGCATGTATTGAATCCCAGAAATCATTATTTAAAAAATTTAAAAAAATCTCTGTGTTTAGATTAACGTTAAAAAAGCAGGGCCCCATTTTTTTAATTAAGAGTTATGTAATAATTGTAATAGAATTAGACAAGCATGTCAACAAATAACACCACATCTAATCAGTTGAGGAGAGTTATTAGAAATAAGAGGAAACGAATTGAACAGTGCATACAAAATGGTGGTGGGCTAATAAAAAACAGTAATATTTAAATATTATTTCGTTGTGAAACTCATTTCTGGTACATTTAAAAAAATATAATTTGGCTATCATGTTGTGAGCATCCTGTATAAGTAAAATCAATGAAACTGCGAGGATATAGTTACATACGGTTACCTTGAAAATATTTTCCACTGTTAATAATAATTTTTCGAAGTTTGCACCTATTTTGTGAACACCCGGAGGTGTGATCAAATCGAAAAGCTATCCATTTCTTCCTTAAAAAAATGCCTAATATGTTTTTAATTTTTGATGGTCTTTTATTAATCATAGTAGGCCGTAGAAAAGATCACGTCAAAAAATATAATATCAAAAAGTAGGCCTTTTTGAGTACCTACTACCACATAAAAAAAAATAATTTTGGAAATCGGCCATCGCCAGCCCGCTTCCGACTTTAAGTGAAACACACTAGAAAGTAATAAAAGTACCTTTTTATAATTTTTTTTTTTTTGAAAAGGCTCATATCAGGCACAAACTGAGGAAGCCCTGTATAGTAAAATTAATACACCAAAATCAAGACCTATTCCATTAAATTTTACTTTCTATAAAAACATTATAAGTACGACATTCTCTAAATTTCATTGTAAATAAGCATACACATATTTTGTTTTTATCGAGATGATGGGAATTCAAATTAACCAAAAGCCCCGTAATGTTTAAATTAACTCTATAAATAACGACTATGCAAGTTCATGTTAAATTGGGTGTATCGAATGGGAACGTGAATGTTCTTCCGTAAATAATAACAACAAAATTAGTTTTGAGGCTCCGTCAACTAACTTTTGTGGTCATGAAAAAGAAAAATGAAAGCAAAAAGCAACAGCGTTCGTATACAATACAGTTATGATTACAGGTGATGTTAACTCGGCAACTGAAATTACGGCCATGCTTACCTCCATTTGTGTGGCAGAAGTACAATAGCTCTGTTATTATTAGAGATACAGAGGAAACAGTCAAATAAAAGTTGCACAGATTAAAAAATTGTATTATAAGGCATGGCAGTCAAAAAGTTGATTTTTTAAATGAAATTTTATATTCGGTTGTGACTGCTAAATTAGCACATGATAAATATATTTTCAAACATTTCTAAAAGCTGTTTTACACACGACAATTTATTGAATAATAAATTGATTATTTTTTGACAAATGAATTAATTGCACAATTTTTTGATGACCGTTTTACACTCACCATTTACAACAATTTATTGGCCAATTTCATTGATGTTATTTGATGCCAACCTCGAACTTCATTGTTCGTCAATTCTCAAACCGAGTCATCATGATTCTTCGAGCATATACTACGTAGTATATGTTGGGATTTAAAAAAAATACAAAATTTAACCTAAAATTGACCAATAAATTAAAATATTTTTCCCTTTCAACTCCTAAAAACCACCCCTCTATTGACAAAAAAAGATAAAAAAAATACTTTTTAAAAGCTTGGATTGCTTTAACGGTGCAATTATTTAAAATAAAAATTCCCTCATTGCTTATGAAAGAATTTGTATCTCATAACACTTTTCAACCCTTGTGCTACAAAAATGACAAAAAATTACATTTTAAATGGTATAATTGTGCAATAATTTAAAATAAAAATTCCCTTATATTGTTTATGAAGGAATATTTTACTTTTGCCATTTTCAACTCTTATCCCAATATTAATGTAAAATATTTTTATTATAATCAATTTTTAAATAAAAAAAATTACTACGCTGCATATAAACTTTTATACACGCTGACGCGCACTTGAATCATTTTGCTCCAAAAATCAAAAAGCCTATTTTGCTCCGAAAAAATGTCATTGGTTTTTTTACTGTAACTCGGTTAATTCTGAAGCTATAGTATCCTACAAAAAAGTATTTTAAAGATAATTTCAAGAGCTGTAAGATCGTTGTCTATCATTTTTTACGTATCTTTTACAGTTTCAGAGTTATTATATAAATAAGGCAATTTTTTTTGAATAATGAAAAATATGTTTTCAACTTTTACCGTACATTATTCAAAAAATATGCATTCTAAACCGGTCTAACTTCAGGATCGTATGAAAAACACTAAAACAAAACTAATTGTAAAGGGTCCACGATTAATTTTAATTCTGATGGAAATGGTACAGCGTTTACTGCTCATTTTTCCTTAAAAAATATGAGCAACCCATCTGTTTTTGACGACAACTCCTTCAATTTTGCTCTACTTAATTTTTATAAGTGCTCATTTTGAAGGTCTTTTTGGGTACTACAAAAAACTCCAGGAGCGTTATACACGAAATTAATCCTTTTTCCGTTATTTGACGTTGAATACATCGATTCGAGTATTGCCCCCAAAACAAGTCCCTTTCCACTAACCATATTTCGCTTTGTATAGGACGTACAACACTTTTTAAAAAACGATTCTCTTTGTTTATTTATAAGCTACATTTTTATTCAATACCCTTTTTTAATAAAATGCATAGTTATTCGCGAAAAATATTTTGAAAGTGTTTTTTTTTTTCACTCAAAGTTCCAAGTTTTCAATCGTGAATAACTAAAAAACTATTGATTTCTCGAAAAAATTCTTCGAATATTTTTTGCTCAAAATTTGATTCTATATCGATTTCCACCCCCGAGAAGGGGTGTCAACCCCCAACAGGGTGGAAGCCCGGGTTCGATTCCCGCGGCCGGTAGACCGTAGATCTGCTATGCTTGTACGGAGGATTGGCTTGCCAATGTAAGAGATTGACACCGGTTGGCATTTGACCACCCCCCTAATTAATGAGGTTTTCCAGGTTTCCCTCATTCCTGCACTGAATGGTGGTTAGGGCCTACCAACATCGTTCCTGGGCGCAAATGCGGCCTGCTTAATAATAATATGCCGCCTCCTCTCTCGCACAAGTCTTCGACTTCTGGGCTAATTCTTGTGGTTAGAATAAG